TGTTGACTTCAGAGGCCAAAAGTCCTCCAGATCTGCCCACCTCTGGCCTGGGGTCTGGTTCCTCCCGGGAGCCGGGGGGCAGGGGGCCCAGGTGGAGAGTGGGCACGTCAATCAGCTCTAGGCTGGAGGTCTGGGCGGGGCAGGGGCTGCGGAGGCGGGGCCGGCGGCTGGCGGCTGGACACTGGCCCCTGGCCCCAGGTCCACCCCTGGCCTCGCAGTCTAGCCTCAGTGAGGACTTTGGACTCGTGGAGGTGAAGAGTATGAAAAGAGGGCAGGAATGGGTCCCAGGGCCGTAGACCCCAGCCCTCCTGAGCCCGACTGAGCAGGGTCTACTCAAGTAAGGTGGGAGTCTGGAAGCTCCCCCAGTGGGGTGATCCCTTAGCAATGATGGAGGCTGGGAGGAAAAGAGAAAGCACTCTCAGTACTCTCTCCAGGCAGCCCACTCCCTAACAGGGATATCTCTGTACCCATCTTAGAATGACTTGTGGGGAACAGAGGGGTGGCCTGGAGCTACTCTAATGTGTCTCCCTTAATGAAGGGGGCATGGCCAGACCCTCGCATCCTTCGGGCTGGTACCTGGGCACATATGTATGCTCCCACCATGGATCTCCCTGCTTCAGGTGACCAGAAGTCAGCTGCTTCTCAGAAGCCCCGGAGCCGGGGCATTCTCCACTCACTTTTCTGCTGCGTCTGCCGGGATGATGGGGAGGCCCTGCCCACCCACAGTGGGGCACCTCTGCTCGTGGAGGAAAATGGAGCTGTCCCCAAGGTGCGTGGCGGCTAGGTGGGGGCTGCAGGAGCACCTGGGTTCAGTGCGGAGAGGGTTTAGGGGAAAGGGCTTTTCATTACCTGCCTGTAAGCCCTGGAAGGTATGGAGGAGGGTGTAGCCCTCTCAGGTCCTCTCAACTTGGCCCCTGAAAGCTCTAAGGCTGCCATGCAGGGGAGGGCCTCTCAGCCACGGGAATTCTGAATTTCCCCTTCGTAGGTGGAAGCTGTTCCCTGCCTTGGTTTCCCACGTGGGGAAGTGAGGCCCAGAGAGCCAGAGGGACTGCCCCAGGCGCCAGAGTTGGCAGGGACCAAGTTGGGAAGGGGGTGGTCTCTTCCCATGTCCCTGTGGCTCCCCAAGTAGAGGACTAGGAGGGGGAAGACCTGTGTAGTAGAAAGCACTTGGTTGTGAGAGAGGAGCCCCCAACCAGCCCCGCCCATCCCCACCGCAGACCCCAGTCCAGTACCTGCTCCCTGAAGCCAAGGCCCAGGACTCAGACAAGATCTGCGTGGTCATCGACCTGGACGAGACCCTGGTGCACAGCTCCTTCAAGGTGGGCCCTGCCTAGCAGCCCCTAGCCCTGGGGCTCTGAGGGGGCTTTGCCCTGGTCTGGGAGGGCAGTCTCTGTGGGTCTTGCCCCAGCTGCAGCCACTCTTTCCCCCTCACAGCCAGTGAACAATGCTGACTTCATCATCCCAGTGGAGATCGATGGGGTGGTCCACCAGGTGAGAGGCTGGGTACTGGGGGGAAGCAGTGGGCTTGGCATTTGCCATTCAAACCCCAGGCTCCTCCCACCAATCCTGAGAGTTCTATATAGGTCTTTGATAGGTGTGGAATGTCTGAGGGTGTGAGACTTGCCTGAGGTCACACAGACCCTCAGGGACTTAACTCCAAGGCCTGCAGGGAGTGGGGTTCTCCTTGGCACCCCCTTGCCCCACCTTGCCCGGGACCCAGTTCAAGTAATTCAGGATAGGTTGTGTGCCATCCAGCCTGTTCTCCATTACTTGGCTCGGGCGCCGGTGCCCTGCAGCCTTGGGGTGAGGGGGCTGCCCCCAGGCTCCTCCATTTGGCTGAGGCCGTGGTGGGGGAAGAGCCTGGGAATTAGTGATTCCCCGAAGCCTGGAGTCGGAGCTTCATTTTGATCCTCTTCGGGGAGGGTGGTGGTTTCTCCAGCAGCAGTTGGGTAACTGACCGAATGGGTACCTCACAGGGCTCAGCCTGTCCCCTGTGCTCCCTCTGCCTCCTCTGCCAGTTCCCTCCCAGCCCTCAGCTGTCCCCACACCCCAAGCCTGTGGGCCAGCAGTCCCCTCACTGGCCCACCCCCCAGGTCTATGTGCTGAAGCGGCCCCACGTGGATGAGTTCCTTCAGCGAATGGGCGAGCTCTTCGAGTGCGTGCTGTTCACCGCCAGCCTCGCCAAGGTGAGTCCCCCATCCTCTGAAGGGTTTCTGGGACAACCCTGCCCTGCCCTCCCCTCCCCTCCGCCTCCAGCATGTGACCTCTGGGCAATGACCTCGGGGGTACCCTCGGCCCCAAATGACTCACCTCCTGTTTGCAGTACGCAGATCCAGTAGCTGACCTGCTGGACAAGTGGGGGGCCTTCCGGGCACGGCTGTTTCGTGAGTCGTGTGTCTTCCACCGAGGGAACTACGTGAAGGACCTAAGCAGGCTGGGCCGAGACCTTCGTCGGGTGCTCATTGTGGACAACTCGCCTGCCTCCTACGTTTTCCATCCAGACAATGCTGTGAGTGCCTCACACAGAATAGGGGGCTGAGACCAAAGAAAGGGGTCAGTCTGTTTGGGCCACCTTGGTCTCCTGTTCCCAAGCTGGGCAGTGTCCCGTGCCTGGTGCCCTCCTGTTCTTCTCCTCATTGACCTGTGCCCACTCACCTCATACTTTATGAATCATTTGGTCCATTCTGTCTGTGTGTTAGAGGGCCAAGGTCCCTGCTGGGCATTAGAGGAGTTGCAGTTTTTCAAGCTGCCAGTTGTAACCAGTTAGTGGGTCACAGAAATAATTTAGTGGGTCCTAGTTGGGATTTTTAAAAAAATGAAATAGAATAGGAACTATCAGAGTGCTTTGCACACAGTAAACTATCATTTTGTAAAACTCTTGCTTTGTTATATATGTAAGTGTGATTTACTGGAGGCTGCTGTCAAAATGTTTGAAAACTGGGTAAGAGGCTTCCAGGAGGTGGCCCACCACGCAGTGGATGCTCAGGGCTGGCCTGGACATTCTGTGCCCAGGGCCACCTGCACCCCTCATCACCCTCCCCTTTATCTGCCCAGGTACCAGTGGCTTCATGGTTTGACAACATGAGTGACACAGAGCTCCACGACCTCCTGCCCTTCTTCGAGCAGCTCAGCCGCGTGGACGACGTGTACTCAGTGCTCAGGCAGCCACGGCCTGGCAGCTAGTGAGGCGCCCTGGGGCCAGGACCTGCCCCTGACCACACCTAAACACCCTTCATTCGTGGACTCCTCCTTAAGAAAACCCAGCAGCCTCGGCCACCTCAGCCCCATGGAGAAGAGGGCATCTCCCCCACCAGCCTGGCCAGGCAGCAAAGGGGGCAGCAGGCTGGGGTCCCTGCGTCAGTGCCTTAGAACCTCCTCCCTCTTCTCGAGGGACCTGTGGGGACCTTTGTGCCACTCCCCCTTTCTCTTTCTCTCTCTGTGCTACCATGTTTCTCTGCTGCCAAATTGGGCCCCTTGGCCCTTTCCGGTTCTGCTTGGGGGCGGGGCACCCACTGCTCCATGCCTTGGGCCCCCAGCCTGGGAACGGTAGACACCAAGTGCCTTCCATAGAGCCCTCTTCCCCACCTGGTTCTCCCAGGGCCAGATAGGACCAGCTCGTGCCTGGAACAGTCTCCCGGCTGCTGGTGGGGGAAGAACCAGTCTCCCCACCTCCTCCCTAGGGACTGGTACAGCTCCCACCATCGCTGCCTAGAAATTGTGGGCAGGAGGGGAGATCTGTTACCACTTGTGAAGGGAGCAGGGGGTCTGTTCTTCAAGACCCGGAGTCCAGCTTCTCTAGACTCATCAGCCGTTGAAGGCTGCTCCCCACATCACCCAAGCCCTGACCCCTCACATCAGCCTTGACCAGCCCAAGGCCCTGGGGCTTGGCTCCGCCAGCTCTTTGAGTGTGGGGACATAGGTAGGACTCCTTTGCGGTGCCATATAAATATGTATATGTGTATATAGATTTTTAGGGGAAGGGGAGAGGGAAAGGTCAGAGTAGAAACAACCCTCCCTCACCCCTTTCTTGGGCCCATAAATTGGCGGGAGGGAGGGAAAGGATTTTTACATTTTTTAAACTGCTATTTTCTGAATGAAACAACTGGGCCAAGGGGCCCCAGGCCCTATCCTCTGTCCCTCACACCCATCTTGTTTTATTCATTCATTCATTCACGTATTCAAATCACATTTATTGAGCACCTTCTCTGTGCCCGGCCTTTGCTAGGCCAACCAGCTGAGTGGGGGGGGTGGTCTCAATACCACCTAACCAGTGCCTCCCCCACCCACCCCATACTTCACTGGTGCCTTTAGGGGATCTGTAGGAGGTGGGACCCTTGTGGGGTTTAGGGGTCTTCCTGCCAAGCTGTCCCCCTCCCCCGTGCCAACCCACCCTCTACCGCCCCGCCTCATCCCCTGCTGGCTGGGGGCAACTCCCAGGACATCCTGCCTTCCAGCTCTGAGCCCTTTACTTGGAACCCCTCCCCCAAATGCTGAGTCTGGAGGTCAAGGCCTTGGGCTCTTACCAGGGCCTAATGGTTAGGGGGACCCACATACCAGTGCCAAGGGGGGTGTCGAATGGAGATGTCATTGTCCCTCCCCCCCCAGAGAGTTGGGGGGTGGGAAGGAGGACATGGCTATCTGAATTGGGTGACCCTCCCATTTAAGTGCCTTCTCTGTGATGGAGAGCTCCTCAGTGTGATGAGAACTAAAGAGAAAGCCAGACCCCTCATCCTGCCTCTGTGATTATTGGTGGGGCAGAGAAGTGGGGAGTGATTCTGTATCACATGAAGCTACGCCCCACTGCAGCAAACCTTTTGGAGTGGGGTAGTGGAGAAGGGGCTACCCCAGGTCCCTGGGGCTTCAAGTGTGAAAATGCAAGATTAAGCACACCGCTTTGGATGATCCGAGTACTATTTAATTTTCCTACCTCTCAGCCTCAGTTATCTGATCTGCAAAATGGAGATCGGCCCTCTTTGCAGAATTGATTAAATGCCTGCACTTTGAGAACTCGATAAGATTAGCTCTAAAGCTAAACTGAAATGCGTCCTTAGGGGAGGCCCCTGGAAGGTATTTAGAGACAGGAGGGGTGTGGTTTCGGCCCCAGAGTGGAGGGGTGGGGCTCTTGAGGCTCCAGAGGGTGGAGGTGGGGAGCGGGGCTCGTTACTGGGAAGCCAAGTTCAACTCCAAACGTAACTGAGCGAGGCTGACGTGGGCCGCCCTAGCGGTATGGCGGGAAGAACTGGCAGGCTGAGGCGTCAAAGACTCTGGGGAAACTGGGTGGGGACGGGCGCTCGGGCCCATGCCCCTCCATGCTCCCTCCCTCCCCCACCCGCCTCACTGGCCGCACCCTTGCAAGAGCCTCCGGCTCACTTCCTGCCGCCGCCCCTTTGGCCCTGGCAGCACTTCCTTTGCAAAACTGGGCAGCCCCAGGCTCTAGCAGGAAGTGCCCTCCTGGCCCGCCCCGACCCGCCCTCTCCAGCTTCCCACGGTGGCCACCAGAGGCCACTCCATCCTCGCGGACGGTGGGTCTCCTCAGCGCAGGCCCTCTCCGGCCTGCCCCTCCCCCACCCCTGGGGCTGCAAAGATGAACGCTGTCATCATTCACCCCTCCCCCGAGAGTGGACAGCTTCTGGGCACCCCCTCCTTCCCGTCCCACCATTCCACCATCCCCTACACAGGAGAAGGGAGACCTGCCCCTTTCAAAAGTTGCTCCCTGTCCCCGAGCTCCACCTCTCCTATCCCTCCTACACCCCCATCCCCTTGTGAATCCAGCCTCTAGCCTGCCTCCTGGTGTCCCAGATGCTGATCTGTACCCCAAGTCTCTGGGGGTGACCTGCAGTGTATATATCACCCCTTTCCCTGTGCAGCCCCGCGCCCAACTTTTCCCTGGTAGAAAAGCGCTGGGAAGCACCCACCTAGGAAGAAAACCTGCAGCACCCTCACTCTCAGTTCCATCAGCTCCACCCTGAGACGGAGCCTGACAGCCATAGGCAGGGTTACTCCCCAGTCCTGCCTGCCTCTACCTGTATCCTTCTCCCTGGGGTCCTGCTGGATTTCCTGCTCTCTATGCAAACAGTGGTCCCAGATTTGCATCCCAGAGGCCCACACAGGCCAGGGAGTCACCAGGGCTTCCAACTTTAAATGCGACCGCAATCAGCCTTTCCTCACCGCCACCACCCACACACCCTTCACCCACATAAAGTTCAACACAACCACATGTATGTGTGCTTCCTGTGTGCCAGGCACGGTGCCAGGACCGGGGACACCCCATGACGAGGCTATGCCTCTGCTGTCAAGGAACTCACACCCAGGGTGGAGAAAGACACCCGAACAGACGATCTAAAACCTGAAATACTGCAAAGGCAGTGCGAGAGAGACCACGGAAAGGCCCAAGCACCAGGGGACACCTCATCCCTCCAGGAGTGGCTATGGGAGGGTTGGAAAATGCCCCCTGAGGGAGTGAGGCTCAGATGAGTTTGAGGAGCGTTCAAGTGAAGGTGGCCTGAGTGAGGAGATGCACCAGAAAGGAAACAAAAGCCCCGGGGCCTGTCACATTAGGGAGTGTGGGAAATGACAGTTTGGGAATTGTACACAGAGGGGGAGGGTGGGAAATGATGCTACGGAAGGTAGGAGGGGTAAGATAATGCATATCTATGGGCAAACCCTAGGAAGTGGCCTTTTTTCTTGCAGGCAATGGGGTGCCTTTGAGGGACACTGAATAAGAGAGGGGTGTACTCAAACCTGGCAGCTGTACATTGGAAGCTAAATCAGGCGTATGGGATGGGAGACCATGGAGGATGGAGGATGAAGACTTGAACTGGGGCAGAGGCAGAGTGAAGAGAGAAGAAGGAAGAAGGGATGGATGTGAGACAGGAGATAAACTTGGCAGGAAGCTGTGGCTGGTCTGCTCTGGAGACAAGGGTGGATAGGAAGGAGGAAGGCTTTGGAGATGTCAGCTGTTAAAATGTCCCTAATCAAGCCTGGTATGGGACACATATTAACTATATGTCTGTTACACATACACACACACACACTCACACGACTCACAGCAGAGGGAACATGGGCCTGATTACACTGCTGGCAGGAGTGTAATGTAAGCTAGTGCAAACTCTTTGGAGAGCGATTTGACAATATCAAAACTATTTTTTAAGTGCAGACACCCTTTGATCCAGCAATTCCACTCTTCGAAATTTGTGCTATAGATAAAATGTATATACATATAACCTTGTATGTATCTGGGTATTAATTATATCCTGGTTTGTAATAGCAAGACTCTGGAAATAACTTGTGTCCATCAATAAGAGACTGGTTAGATAAATCTTGCTCTATCTATACCACAGAACCATGCAGTCATGAAAAACAATGAGGTGGAACTATCCAAGCAAATAAATATAGAATGGTCTCCAAGACAGACAGACCAGTAAATGAAACAAAGCAAGATTCATAACAATGGTGATGGTGTATTACCACTAAGGAGAAATATAAAAATAGATTCAAATATACAAATATAGTTTTGTGTACTCCAGAACGGTAACAACAAATGGAAACTGTGGTTAATCTTGGGCAGCAGGGCTGGGGGACTGGGTGGGAGTCATCTGAGATGGGAAGGACATATTTTTACTATGTATCTATTTATATTTTGAATTATTTTACCAGGTACATTTATTAATTTTTTAAAAATAAAAATCCGTTTAAAATGAAAAACACAGTCAACTCTCTAAACGAAATGCCAAAATATTGGGGTGTTGGAAAAGTCATGATGTATTTTTTCTCTTTTTCGTTGCAAAAATGATTCATGACTTTTCCAACAACCCAATAGAAATCACAAATTCCATTTCTTTCCTTCGAACAGCCATTGAACGCCTACTCTATACCAGGCACTAGAGTACAGCAGAGAGCTAAACAACCACTGTGGGAAAAACAGACGTTAAAAAAGCAATTACAAAATGAATATTATAAAAGGAGAAGTAGAAAGTGGTAAATAAAGAATTAAAATTTTTTGTACCACCGGTGACAAACTATCGCCCCAAGATGACTTCCAATTGCCAAGGAGGGAATGTACCTTTACAGTGGGAATATCTGGCAGTCACCAAGGGAGCAAACTTCGTATCACTCATGCTGGGATGACTTGACATCATATACCTCCTGAAGCGATGCAATGGGAATCATACAGTGTCATCTTGCCCATGCTACTCGCGGTGTGGTCCGTGGACCGGACTAGCACATCAGCCACACCTGGGAGTCTGTTAGTCATGGAGCTCCCCAAGCCCTACACCAGACCTATTGAATCAGATTCTGCATTTTTTTAAAGATTCCCAGGTGATTCTTATTACAGTTTGAGAAGCGCTGGCCTTTTTCAAGTGTTCTTGAATAAAATTGTTTAACTAGAACTTATCCAGCCTTTAGAGGCGTTTTCGGTTCATGGGAAATACAGGAGGAAGAGGAACAAACTAAATAATACACAAAGAAAGGCTTAGACTGTGTGAACATTCTGTGAGACAATTGTCCTTGATTCAGGTAAGTCAATGTCTTGTGAAAAAAGCTGAGGGATTGTATTAAATTTAAAAAATACTGGGGCGGGGCCGGCCGAGTGGCGCGATGGTTGGGAGCTGGCTTGGGACCCCAGAGGGCCCCAGTTCGGATCCCACATATGAGGGCCAGTGACACTGCCCTCTACAGCTAAGATGCTGAACAACAGTTCAACCTGGAGCTGGGCTGCTGTGAGTTGCCGGCGACGGCATAGGCTGCAGCCCCTGGTGCAGTGGGTTGCCATGGGCTACGGTGTGTAGCCAGTAGCAGCAGCCAGCGTGAGCGGCCAGTAGCCGCTGTGAGTGGCCATCCAGAAGCCGGCGACTGATCTGCCTCCCCCAGGAAGAGTGCAATGATGGTGCTAACTTGGGCCAGTGAAGCAACATCCTCCACAACTAGACTGAAGAACGGAAGGACAGCGGCTTGTCTGTTCCCCTTCCCCCGATTCTCTAGTGCTGTTCCCATCCCCCAATTCCCCAATAAAATCTTTTTAAAAATAAAATAAAATAAAGAAAGGAAACCTCATTAAAAAAAAAATACTGGGGCAGCCGGTTAGCTCAGTTGGTGAGAGCACAGTGCTCATAACATCAAGGTTGCCTGTTCGATTCCCACATGGGCCACTGAGCTGCACCTTTCACAACTAGACTGAAACAACTACTTGACTTGGAGCTGATGGGTCCTAGAAAAACACACTGTTCCCCAACTAAAAAAAAAAAAATACTTAAGAGACATAACAATCAAAGGAAAAGCATGGCTTTGATTTGATCATGAATCAATAAAAACAATTGTTGAAGTCCTTGTGAGGACAATTGGAGAAATATGACCATGGACTGGTAGAAGATGATATTAGAAATAATTTGTAACTATCTCAGGTGAAAATCATATTACAGTTATGAAGGATAATGTCCTTGTTCTTAGGAGATGTGTGATAAACTAAATATTTTGGGCTGAATATTATATCTGCCACTTACTTCCAAATATATACCTGGGGTGCAAAAAAATATATATACAAGTGGACACTTTGATCAATGTTGCTCAAGCAGTAGTTCACCGTAATCAGAAGTGTCTGGACACTGATAGTAACCACTTTGAGCACCTCTTGTAATTGCAGAAGTCAAAAGTGACTTGTATTCATCTTTTGTTATCGGTATATATTGAGTATTACAATTTTAATACAGTTTTCCTTTCTTAAAATGTGTATCCATTTTTTTTGGCACTCTCTGTATATTATTCATATATGGAAAATGTTAATTCTTGAGTTCATGGGTGTTTATTATTATTATGCTATTGTACTACTATTTATACTTTTCTATGTTTGACATTTATCATAATAAAGAAATTGGAAAAAACATAAGTTCTCCCCCAAAATTCTGAAGCTAATAAAAAGCAAGCAACAAATTGGAGCAGAGTACCCCATCAGTCACAGGTATGTTACCAACCTTAATACATTAAACAACTCAAAAAAATTAAAGTTTCACAAAAGAAGACAGAGCCAATGAATGTATTTTAAAATGGTCTATCCCACTGGTAATCAAAGAAATAGAAATTAACACATGATGATTTTCTTTTTGACATTCAACCTGACAGAGATTTTCTTAGAAGCTGGAACCCAGGACTGGAAAGAATGTGGAGAAGCAGGCAGCCTTCTGTCCTGAACGTGGGACTGTCAATTGATGTGCCTGTTCTGGAAGGCAATTTGCTTATTCACATCTTCGACCCAGCAAACCCACTTCTAGGAGTTTATCCTAGAGCAGCGGTTCTCAACCTTCCTAATGCCATGACTCCTTAATACAGTTCCTCATGTTGTGGTGACCCCCCAACCATAAAATTATTTTCGTTGCTACTCTATAACTGTAATTTTGCTACTGTTATGAATTGTAATGTAAATATCTTTTTGTTTTCTGATGGTCTTAGGCAACCCCTGTGAAAGGGTCGTTTGACCCCCAAAGGGGTCGCGACCCACAGGTTGAGAACCGCTGTCCTAGAGGAATAATAATGGGTGCGATCTAATGGCAAAGATTTAGCAATAATAATACTTGCCATAGTATTCTTTGTAGCATCAAATAATTGGATATAATTTGGAAGTCTGAAAATGAGCTATTGGTTATATAAACTATGCTGTCTATCTAATGGATTGCCATGGTCAATTAAAATGAAGTTGCAAGGACCTGCAAGTGGCTCAGTTGGTTAAGAGTGTGAGCTCTGAGCAACAGGGTCGCTGGTTCGATTCCCACGTGGGGCAGTGAGCTGCACCCGAGCTGAGCTGCCCCTGAGCTGCCAACAGATGGCAGAATAGCTCAGCTGGTGAGAGCACGTGCTCCTAACAACAAGGTTTCTGGTTCGACTCCTGCAACTAAAATTGAACATGGCACCTTGAGCTGAGTGGCCACAAGCTGCCGACACGTGGCTGGATGGCGACTGGACTTGGAGCTGAGCTAGTTGCGCCCTCCATAACTAAGATTGAAGGACAAGATTGAAGGACAACAACTTGGCTGTTCCCCTTCCCCAATTCCCCAACACTGTTCCCCTTCCCCAATTCTCCAATAAAATCTTTAACAAAAAAATGGAGTTGCTAAATAACATATGACATGTCACAATAAAAAGTATATATGTGTAGATTGATCGATAGTTGATTTTATATAGTACACACACAGCATATGTATTGGACAATGACTTGAAAGAAAACCTCCAAAATAAATCACTAAGAGTGATTTATCTGCAGATTATCTCTGTAGTGGAATTTATAGCTGATTTTTTTCCCCTTTTTGCCTGTTTGTATAATTCAGTGAACACATATACTTCTTTTTATTCACAAAGGGTGTCATTTTAGAAAAACAAAATAGCACCCTCAGTGTGTTTACTCTTCCTACCAGACTGTGAATGAGCACACTCACACATGCACATGTGTCACCCATATACCATTTGGTCTCCAGAACTCAGGAGGGTGTGGTCAGTAGGAGGGGCTGCCCTCACTTAGCCGGATTCATCTCACCCTCCAGAGGACCAGAGTTCAGAGGTGACAGGAGAATTTCTGCAGGGGTGGAAGTTGGAAGGCATCTGCCCACGGTGCTGAGTTTGTGGGCAAAGGCAACTTCCGTATTTGAGAGGATTGCACTCTTTTCCCATCCTGAATGAGATGGACCCACTAGGATCAGGGGTTGGAAAGCTTGGCTGCTGGGAGAGAGTGGCAGACAGAGTCCAAAGGCACTCGTTTATGGCAGCTCATAAAAGTTCCTGTTGGGTTCAGTGCCCCTGAAAGGAGGGGACGAGAAGAGCACTTGTGGCCCCTCTGAATCAGTGTCATGCCCAGTAGAAGAGACCTCTAGAGGTACCAGAGTCCCATCTGTTCTGGAGGTGCCCCAAGGACAAACCCCTGGCCCTGCATTCCTGGGTCTGGGGCTCCCTCGCCTAGAGCCATTCTCCCCAGGGAAGGAGGGAGGACCACTGAGCCTCCTCCTCTGGGTTGGTAGGAGGAAGCATCCAGGGGTCCCGACCTCCCCTGGTCAGTGCTATCTACCTGCAGTCAGGGCCTGGGCCCTGGGCAGAAATGTACCCCATCCCTGGGAGTTCTCATGGAGCCAAGGGTGGAGCACATCAGCTCCTGCTGTCAGGTTGTTGCTGGGCTCCAGGCTCCCAGGGACTTGTGGGCACCTGTTTCCCCACCCCCCTCACCCATTCTCTCTCTCTGGAGCCCTATCTTCCCTTATATGGCGAAGGCAGTTCCTAGAGGGGGGGTTGGTGAGGACAAAGGTCGTTCTCCTACAGCCAGCTTGCCACAACTCCCTGAGATCTCCCAGGTGGCAGCAGCCTCCCCGAGCCAGGTAAGGTAACCCTGCGCGGACACATGGGGACCATAGGTGGTGGAAGAGGACAGGATAGGGTCCCTTGCTTCTCTCTGGAACTCCTGGAACACCTTGGGGTGGCGTGAGAGAGAGGCGTGGCAATCTGGAGAGCCTGGGGAGAGCAGAGAGCCCAGGGTGGCTTCCTGGGCCTTCAAGGAAAGAACTGTGCAGATTCCACCCCAGACAGCTGCTCTTCCAGGCCCCTACTTGCCACTAGCCCCCACCTCACTCCAGGTGTCAGCCATCCCAGATTGCCCTGGACTAAGGAGAATCTGGAGGCATGAGACTTCTGGACTTAAAACCTAGACAGTCCTGGCCAAACTGGGACTAACTGGTCACTCTGACCTCACTCCCCTCTCCTCTGCCCCCATTTCTTACCCATTTCTTCTTCATCTGAAATTGTTTCTTTTTTTGTGTCACCGTTCCCCTGACATTCCTGGGACCTCAGGGCTCTTGCCTGCTGGATCTCAGAGTGTGAGCAACAGCCATCAGTGATTGAATGGGCAAAGGCAGAGGCAGGGGACTGATGGCACAGGACCCTTTGGCCCTGGCCATCCTGGAACCTTGGCTTGCATGTCTGCTCTATCTCCCCTCTACCAGGACCTGACCTCTCGGCCTCACCAGGCACTGTGACAACATTCAGCTGAAATGAGGGCAGAGGTAGGGAAGGTGGGAGCCAAGTCCAGAGCAGGGTCTTGGGACATACTGACTACCCCTTTCCCAGGAAGCCTGCTCAGGCCTTCTCAGTTTGGTGGGAACAGAGTCTACAGGCTGGGGGACTGGGGCGCGTCCACTCCCTCTGCTGTCATGGGCCTGTGGAAGCAGGAAGGTGTCCTTGTTTCAGGGACTGCCACATCCCTGTCCAGCTCAGAACTGCATGACTGCAGACTAACAGCAGTGACAGCACCCGGAGCTCTCTGGAGCCCAAACCCCACAGGAGAGCAGAGAAGAAAGGAAAGATGGGACCTGGTGGGGGAGGAGCCCCAACTACCTCCAGGGCTCCCGAAAGCTCCATCCCTTCCATTATACAGTTCAGTTTTTCAGCTTCATGAATATTTGTTGAGCACCTACTATGTGCTAAGAGCTAGAGGCTACACAGACAAACATGCCTGGATTCTTGGCCTTAGGGACCTCAGACTTATAAACAGATCCCTTCATCCCATGTGGTCAGGTGGGCGAGAAGCATCGGTCCAGAAAGCCTTGGGGCCCCTGGCAATGGGCCTGAACTAGCCTGAGAACTCTGGGAAGTTCTCCTGGGAGAAATGAGACCTAAACTGAGTCTAGAAGAGCATGTAGGTGTTAACCAAGTGAAGAAAGGTGGGGAAGGGTTTTCAGTAAAGGGAACAGCAGGAGCAAGGATAGGGTGAGAGGGTGAGAAGCAACAATGAGGGTGGGGGGCTCTCAGCGCCACCCTCCTGAGAATCCCACTGCCCATTCCTGGCCATGTGGAGGCTCCCCCAGTTCCCCCTGTTCAGGCTGTTGGAGGTCCCCAATCCTGACTGCTCTCTACGGAGGGCGAGTGCCTAATTTCTCAAGTCCCTGCTTCTCTGAATCTGCCCTGAGGGGCGAGGGGCACCTTCTCGCGTCTACCCTCTATTCCTCCTGCTGTTCACTCCTGGGATCAAAGCATGTCCCTGGTGGGACTTTAGAGATCACCTCGTCAACCCCTCTACCTAATAGATAAAGAAACAGGGGTCCATGTTCATAGTTTATGAGAGTCAAAGAGTCTGTCTTAGAGAAAGGAAGATTCAACAAAGGTGGTGATTGAAACAAAACATTTTCCTTCTTTGTACCCAAATTGGTTCTACTGAACCAGGAGTCCTGGGAGCCCTGGGGTCCCTGTATGTTGACCTCAGGAAGAGGTCACTGGCCAGCAGGGGCATCAGACAGGACTCAGGCATAAGAGGCTCCTACAAGCTCAGGGCTGGCGATCGGCAGGTGGCCCTGGTCGGCTGAAGGGGGCGCTAATCAGATGCTTGGAGGGAGACCTTGCCCCCAAATTCCAGAATGCTAGGGCAAAGAAGGGGTCACCCCGCAGGAATCAAGAGAGGGAGTTTCTGAGCAGTGAAAGTCCAGGTCATTGTTCCAAGAGGTGACTCAGACAACCAGTCAAGATGGCCGAGCACTCTAAGAGGTGACTCAGAGTCAAGGTGCAGAGAGAGATTAGATAGAGATTTCAGGCTGTCTGTGAGGCCACGTGACCTTTCATTCATTATGCATCAGTATATGCATCAGTTCAAGGAGCACTCATGGAGACTGACTCTGTGCCTGGCTGGGTAGTGGGCTCAGTGGGGAATGGGGTGGCCTCCAGCCTGGTGGGGGAGGGGCAGGAAACCAGGGACGAGGACAACTGGAAGCAAGTGATTCTCCACCCTGGCTCATATCAGAATCACTGGGGGGTTTTACTTTTTATTTATTTATTTATTTTAAAAGATTTTACTGGGGAATCGGGGAAGGGAAACAGACAGTTGCTGTCCTTTTGTTCTTCAATCTAGCTGTGGAGGACGTCGCTTCACTAGCCCATGTTGGTATTGTGATCTGCGTTCTAACCCGGCTGAGGCAGTCAGTTGCCAGCCATTGGACAGCCGCTCACAGTGGCTCACTCTGGCTGCTGGCCACTCACGGTAGCTTATGGCAGCCCACTGCAGCCCCACGGCAGCCTACGTCATTGCCGGCCACTCATGGCAGCCCAGCTGCAGGTTGAGCTGTTAGAGGGCGCAGCGTCACTGGCTCATGTGGGAACCAAACCGGCGGCCCTGCTGCTCAGAGCTCACGCTCCCAAGCCAACTCTTAACCAACTGAGCCACTCGGCCAGCCCCAGTGGGGGTTTTTAAAGTACCCATGCCCTGCCTCTCAAAGAGCAGAAAATAAAGTATCCGGGCCCGGGCCCCAGTCTGGCCTAATTAAATCAGAATCCCTGGGGAGGTGGCCTGCACATTGGAGCATCAGTGTTAATTAAAAGCTCCCCAAGTGATTCTGATGAGCAGTTGGAATGGAAAACACAGCTACAGATCAAAACCAAAAGTGCCATAAAAGATACCATAAAAGAAGCTTGGGGAAGGGAAGTTTCTTCTAGAGGTGGTTCGCAGTGGGAGGGTTCACTCTGTCATTTATCCATCCATCCATCCATCCATCCATCCATCCATCCATCCATCCATTCATCCATCCATCCATCCACCCATCCATCCATCCATCCATCCATCCATCCATCCATCCATCCACCCATCCATCCATGCATTCACTCGCCCAGCAAGTTGCCAGCACTGTGCTAGATGCTGAGTATTCAGTACTGAACAAACAAACCTGGCCCCCTGTTCTTGTAGGGTCTACATCTTGGGAGCTATCAGAACAGTGATTGAGGGGTGTTTGAGGGTAGCTGGGAAAGAATAGGAATCTGCTGTATACACATTTCTATTGCAGTAAGATACACATAAAATATGATTTACCATTTTAACCACTTTAAAGTGTACAATTCAGTGGCATTCAGCACATTCACGACATTGCACAACCATCACTACTCTATCTAGTTCCAGAATTTTTCTCATCATCCCAAATGGAAACTCCATACCCAATAGCAGTCACTCCCCATTTCCCATCCCCCCCACCCCCCACCCAGCCTCTGAAAACCATGCTATCTCTATGGATTTGTCCATTCTGGATCTTTCATATAAATGGAGTCATACATGGCCTTTTGTGTCTGGTTTCTTTCACTAAACATAACGTATTCAAGGTTCACCTATGTTGTAGCACGTATCAGTACTTTTTATGTACTAAATATTTATGTACTAATATTTAATGGCTAACTATTACTCCATTGTGAGAATATACAACTTTTGGTTTATCTATTTATCCGTTGATGGACATCTAGGTTGTTTCCACCTTTTGGGCTATTATGAATAATGCTGCCATGAACTTCATGTACAAGTGTTTGTTTGAACATCTGTTTTTTTTCCATTTTTTGGGGTGCACATACTTTGCAACCCTTATTATTCTTTGCTTTCCTTTAAAGAAAATAACCCTGTATGGTTTTTTTTAGCCAACCACGCCTTGATAAAAATTTCTTAAAAAGAAAAATTGTTTGGGGCTAGACAAAGAAGAGCCTTGCGTGACAGGCCAAGGAGTGAGAGCTTTTTTCAGAAGGTGACAGGGAGTCAGGGTAGATGTTTGAGCAAGAGAGTGACAAAGTCAGAGCTGAGTCTCAGCCTTCGGCCAACCCCCCTCTCCTCCAGGTTCCTGAGCCCTGGCCTCCTGGCACTGTTGCGAGCCCTCAGGGCTGGGCTGGAAGAGCAGCACGTGAACCCCAGGGTGCTCCCAGCTCCTCAGTCCTTGCTGCAACACTGCTTCCCTCCTAGGTGCATCATCATGACCAAACTGAGCGCCCAGGTCAAAGGATCCCTCAACATCACCAGCCCAGGGCTCCAGATATGGAGGATCGAGGTGAGGCCTGCCTGAGCACAGGGAGGGGGGACGGGAGAGAGGACTGGGGTTACTCTCACTGCCCACCGACCCTGCCCTGTTGGCGTGGGGGACCCCGAAGCCTGTCTCTAAGTGACCTGTCCCCTCTCTTCAGGCATCAGCCTCTTCCTCCTGCCCCTTTACCTCCTCCCCTCCTCACATCCCTTCTGCTTCTCAGCTTGGTCATTCCCTGTTCCTCCTGACTCTCTGCCTCTCCCAACTCCCCCTGTGGTTAAGGGAGGAAGCCTGGAGTCCTGGGTGGTCCAGGGCTGCCTGTCTGACCTCCTTTCTCTCCCTAGGCCATGCAGATGGTTCCTGTTCCTCCCAGCACCTTTGGCAGCTTCTTTGATGGTGACTGCTACATAGTCCTGGCTGTGAGTGGGGTGGGGGGTTGGGGGGGGTGGGGCTGAGCAGAGAGCCAAGCCCACTGTGGTGTCAGGGAGGAAACTTGAGGCTGGGGCAGTGGGGAGAGCTGCCCTGGCTTCACCCCAAGACAATCCTCATTGGGTGTGCCCAGGCGCCCAGCTTAGTGGCAGCTCTGCTGGGCCAGAGATGTAAGAGGTTCTCCCTGCCTCAGGCCTCTGAGCTCCCAGCAGAGGTGACCTTCTGTGGATTTACAGTCACGGATGACCTTCTGAGCTGGTGGGATGTCACCCTACCTTGAGCTTACATTTCCAAAATCCACAGTCATCTTCATAACACCTTCTTGGTTTTGATGACATCCTGGGACCATCTATACCATTAATACACTTGTATATTTTTCCTTATATAAGTCACTTTTTAAATTTAAATACATTTATTTAAAAATATAACTGTACATCATTACCATAAATCAAAACAGTGCCCCGTATCCAGAACAGAAAGTAGCTATACAATATTTACATAATCATTTCATATATACATCTGTCTGTATACCTCCTAATCGCCTCATGGACTTCTGATGGTCCATGCACATCACTTTGGGAAATGCTGCCATAGTCCATCCACGTAATTTACAAAAGGAGACAAGCAAGGCTCCGAGGGGAAGCCACTTGCTCCTTGTCTCAGAAAGTCTGTGGCAGAGCTGAGACCACAGCTCCGGGCTCACCTGTGGTCCAGGCCCCAGGTGCATGGGATACCATGCAAAGCAGAGAGGTAGGAGAGGACTGTGGGAGTCCAGGGCCTCAGGTACATTGAACATCCTTCTTTCCAGATCCACAAGACAGGTAGCAAACTGTCCTATGACATCCACTACTGGATTGGCCAGGCCTCGTCCCAGGACGAGCAAGGGGCGGCTGCCATCTACACCACACAGATGGACGACTTCCTGAAGGGCCAGGCTGTCCAGCATCGTGAGGTCCAGGGCAATGAGAGCGAGGCCTTCCGAGGCTACTTCAAGCAGGGCCTTGTGTATGGAGGGGCGCGCTGCAGGCCGGGGAGTGGGATGAATGAAGGGAGGGACTCCTGAGGCTGGGGGGCAGAGCTGGAGTTGGGAAGGGAGTCTGAGGTGTTGCGGGGAGCCCACAAG